CGGCTTATTCAGAACGTTGGAATTTCCATTGTCTATCGCTTTGCTTTCGCCCCTGCTTTTTTATTCATTGATAGTGCTTGAGCGTAGAGGGACAAAACAAAATAAACAATGACAAGTGTAAATTAGTCGTTTGATTTTCGATTTGTTGACAAATTCAACCGCAGTTTGTTCCCGGTCCGCCTACCGCATGTTGTTCTTTTTTTAAATCGTAACTGGGTATTAGGAAGGCGTCCATCTAAAAAATACAGTAGGAAATTTGACATGGCTTTTTTTAAGCCAAATAAACTTGTTGCAAATAGTAGTTTAGGCGAGTATCATGTACACAAATGTTACAAAAATACATCCAAGTACGTTTGAACAACACTTGTGCTTTATAGTTAATACAATAGATAAAATACAGATTCAAATTGTTCAAGGATTCATTGTATATTTAAGCAGTATTTTCATAATTATTATACACGGTGTTCAATAATTATAAAATAATGCACTCACAAATTCCGCACCACCACCCAAATTCTACCAACACATTTTCATTAATATTCGAAATGTTGAAAAGTACAAATCACGTGAGTATTGATTTTTCCTCTGTGATAAAAGTTCAATTTTATAACAGGATATACAAGCTACTTGCAAAAGAACTTTTGTTTAGGGAATAACAGGGTTGTTTTTGTTGTCTATATTAAAATGGATATATTTTTTCCAAGAACAATGCAATATTTTTAATCAATTTTGTTAATTAAAAGTTATAGTAAAATTTAGAAAATGTAACGGAGTTTTTTGTCGTCGTAAAATTCAATTAATATTTTCAAACAACTTTTTAATTTACTAATTAAAAACGTCTTTGAATTTATATTAATGATAAAATGGATGTAAAAAATCTATGAATATGGATATCCGATCACCATATATTGAAGGAAAAGTAAAAAAAATCAGATGGAGGAACATGAAAAGTTTAAAGTTAATTGGACCGTTGTTAAAGTTCATCACACTGGTGAGTGCTACACGTTGAAACTGGTCAATGCTATAGAAACCACAGGGACATTCTTAAATCGTTATCGGAACTTGAAACACGACTAAAAGAAATATAAAGCTGCTTAAAGGTTTTTTCATACGTTTCGATCGCCAAACTTCCTGAGGTACTTTGCAACTCGAAGGGCTCTTACGCGTTAATGGAGTAGTTTGTCTAGGATGTTAAAAAAAGATGTACCTATTAAGATAAGAGTTTTCTAAAAATGTTGTCTAACTTTGATGCTTTTTAATAAATGTTAAGAAGGGGGTAAATAGGCTATGTTTTTATATTCATTATTAATATAGCACAAGCAAGTTTTTCATTGGCTGCAAAATAACATTTCTTCCAATATATATCACTTTTCCACTTAACAGCTTTTGATTCTGGACTGAAAAATTTATTTTACATATTCGTTTTATGTATGCTCTTTCAAAATGTGATTCATCAATCTGATAAAATCATAAATTTGTAGCAGTTGATCGAAACATTTGAAGTTGTACAAAGTTATGTCTTAATTATCCTTTTATCTGGAATAAGCCCAAAGTGCTTCGTAATTCAACCCAACGCGAAACAGACATGATTTTTTGAACTTGACACGCTACTTACCGGTGAGAGGATTTTTAGGAAATATATTATTTTAGTCGCCTGTTGTGATTCTTCTTTTCACTTTAAAATTGAATATATTCTATAAATTAAAGTAAATTTTTTGAAACATGCAGTTTGAAATTTAATACCTAATTGAGGTTGACCTAATTTTTATTTTTTTGTAGGGAAGTGGTTGATGTAAGGTAGTTTCATAAATGATTAATTGGGTGTCAAAAACTGTCCACTCTCGTTTTTTTAGTAAATTCAAACGTTATAGTTATTACTTGTTGTTGTTTACAGGATATTGTTAACAAAATATAAGATATAGCTAAATATAAATAAATAAATAAATAAAAATTTAAACTGAGTAAAACAGTTTCACCAAAAATACTGCTGAGGAAACGATAAAAAAATATTAAATTTAGTACGCAGTATTTTCTTTTCTTACGTTGATCACCGCTTATGCGACGTGGTGGTAAAACATCCGTCAAAGAATTGAAGAACTGAGCAGCATTTAAATTATTTTCGTAAAAATAAGGCCCAATTATTTATTTCCAAGAAGTCCACATTAAACGTTGATATTGTGAACTACCTGATGATGACAAGAGTACGCGATTCTAGGATTTTTCTATGCCCTCGTTCGAAAATTCCAACAGTTTAGTTTGATAACTGTGAACTCGGATTCATCAGTCCATAAAATGTACGGGAGAACGTTTTCTTCAGCCTCCCAAATCGACATTTGTGCAAGGAACGTTAAACGCCTATCACAATCAGAGTCCCTAAGTTTCTGAACAAGATGAGAGCGTTAAGGCTTAACTATAAAATTGCAAGTCCGAACATATAGTAAAATATTCAGCTCTTCGCCGAAATTACGCTACCAGTTTCTCGGTGATAGAGCAGCAACTGTATCTCCTCATAGTGCGAGCAACACGTATAAACATTTTGTGGTTTACTCTAGGGCGGTCAGGAAATTTCTGGGAGTACAACTCGACTGTACGACGCACACCACTACTATTAATAAAGCAGTAGTACACCCCAACTCACTGTTGATCGGAAAAATGTGCTCGTCGGTTCGTTTTGATTGAAATTCTGAATGTAAAGCATAGGTACTATTGTAAAATTATTTACTTCCAGGCATACGATTTGCTCCCATAATGCAAGTTTGACAAACGATGACAAAATGTAAACAATAAAGGCAATTAATGTCTACTTTAATGTAGAAGAAAATTATTGGAATTAACAACAAAACAGGGGACCGCGGTAGCCGAGTGGTTAGCATGAGAGACTCTCACGCCGCGGTCGTGCGTTCGATTCCCACCGTCGCCCCTGGCCCTTTTTTCCTGATAACCCCCAATTTGAACACACAAGAATTCGTACTATGGCTAATATGCAATATCATAAGGCCAATAAAAAAAAATAANTTTCAAAATTTCTGCCATAATTTTGTCATTTTTTAACCAATTTATAATCCGATAACACCATTCGTTCAGCGTAAAAATCCTTTAAAATTTTGAGACAGGATGCATAGGGTCGTATTTGGAATTTTGAAGCTGAACTGGGCTTGATGTATCCTGTATAATTTTTCTCCAAAAAATATTATCTATTTTTTATAGCGTCATTGGTTCAAGAGAAATTCAGCCGGGAAAAAAGGACATCCTGTATAGTCAATTCAATATACCGTTTCCTTTCTATTGGTTTCATAACTCACTAGTAGTTCGGGTTAAATCTTATTTTGCCTTAATTCGACCAGTATATTCTTTTTCGTGTGATTCATGATAAAGATTCAAGCGGCTGCTAGTTAAGTGCCATTTCGAGAGGTGTTTAAATAAAAATGCGTACTCCACATTGATAAATGTGTTACTGTACTATAAAGTTATGAACGTTTTCATTCAACAGGATTTTTCGTGGGCCACAATGACATCACTGGAATCAATAATGGGTCGAGTACGCTGGGAGTTTTAATTTATCTGTACTAGCGTTCAAAGACTAGTTTTCCCCAGATTGTCAGATTGCATAAATAAACTGGCTTTGAAAAATAGCCATTTGTATAATTATGCAATAATTGTCATTTTTTCACAAGTTTTGATTTAAAATGCACTTTATAACGTCAAAAGCGGGAGTCGAAATAAATTATTAACGCTTTGATGAAATTACAATAACTGAGAGAGAAATGTGTTGTCATTTGTATATGTTGCCATTTCCAGGAATACGAATGGATGTTTATTCATAAAAATTCCATCACAATAATTATTAAAAATTTCAAATATATTTCGGTATTAGCCTGTGCCGTTAGATTTTTTCTTCGTTTTCGACGGAATAAACACTTTCCATATTCCATTAATCCATATTTGCTTAGTAGTCATAATTGACCATAATAGTTATTCCAATTGTGTGGTGATTAGTGACCGTTAATCTATATTTATTTAGAAATCGTGAGATGCGGTCTGGTGTGATGTAGGTTTCAGAAAAACATTTTCTTAATCGTGCCAACGTTTCGATCTTTATTTAGATCATCTTCAGAGCTCAAAGTGTTTGTCTTCTGTGTAACTGTGCCATTCTTGCGTGTCGTGTCGAGGGTGCCCACTCTCTCTGCCCAGTGGGGCACACTTTGAGCCCTGAAGATGATCTCAATAAAGACCGAAACATTGGCACAATAAAGAAAATGTTTTTCTGAAACCTACATCACACCAGACCGCATCTCACGATTTCTAAATAATTTATTCCAATTAATTATTCCTTTTATCTAAATTTGTTAGTTGTGATGAAAATGCTTAGATAAAGAGTAATTAAGTGTTGTTGTAAATTAGTTAAGTGTATCGTTATATTAAATTGTTAATGTTTGCATGCTTGTCTAGGTAACTATGGTGAGTTAATTTAGTTTTCTGTGTGCTATTTGTAGTCACTTTCAAATTCACCTAATATATTTGTCAGCTTTTTTATAAATTATGTAGATAGATTCCCCCTATCACTTTGCACTTAAAAAAAACGTATCCTAATTTGTTTGTTTCATAGGATTTGGTATTTTAGTACTTTTCTTATTTGGAAAACAATTTTTCTGGAAAACACGATGCTTATTAAACAGGGGTATTTTTTAAAGCCAGTGGTTTGTAATTATTAAAAATGTGGCATATTCGTTTTTACAGTTTTGTCATTTGCCTAACTTTTGTTTTCCAATAAGTTTCTAATCAAAATTACATATTTTCATAATGATAAAATTATCTTTGAGGATGTTGTAAATCTTAGTATTTATGTTTCAATATATGAAATAATTTGCAGCTGGAAGCAAAGTTGTTTCTAACATAGTAAAAATTTGTTTGGGCAGTTATTTAAAAAAAAATTGTGTCAAGTTATTTATTTTTGTATTTTATAAAATTGTTTGTAGTTTTGAACAAAAATGTATAAATACCTGAAGCCTCTCTGCATAGTAGACAAGACTTGCGAATACGACGATACCCAGGACTAGGAAGAACACAAGTAGAGTAAGCTCTTTTGCCGAAGCTTTAAACGTGTGAATCAGGATCTTGAGCCCTGGAGAATGTCTAGTCAGCTTGAAAAGCCTGAGGATCCTGACGATAGAAAAAAATTCCAGGACATCTGCCTTGTCCAAGGCTCTGGCGACGGGGTCCTGGAGTAGGACATCTGTATAAAAACTAAGGGTCGCCATCACATCGATCATGTTCACGGGTGAGCGCATGAACTGGACCTTGTTCGGCGACACCTGGAAATAAAAAAAGGGTAAAGTTAAATAACAAAATTGTTAGCGTTCGTCGAGTCGATTTCGATTGAACAAATTGCATGTAGTTTGACCCGCTGAGGGTGCTCCCCTTGAAAAATTTGTTTTGACATTTTTCCCCTGATCTAAGTCTGTAGAGAAAAGTACTAGCACCCTAAGCTTTTCTTGACACATTTCGATTCCTTTCTCATCCCCCAATAAACAAGAGTGAAGTTGGGATTTACTCGCATGAGGGTACTTTTTTCATTACAAAAACATTCTGTAAAAATGTGCATTTGTTAATCAATAGCGTTTTTTGATACCTTAATTTACCAAGAGTGTGAGTCACTTTACTTAAACTTATGTTCAAAGCTGCTTCATTAAACTTTACGCTACGGTAACTTTTCGAAACGTCTTGTTACCCACTAGTAAAACTTCTAGACAAGAATGGTGCGATTCATTACCTGTTTCGAAGATTTTTTAAACAATTAAATTTATAAACATGCAATAGTTTTTTTAATGAATAGAATAGAACTTTTAATAAAAACTAATCAAATCCGTATGTCTTTGTAATAAATTCAATTTTTTGTGTATTTTGTGATTTAAACCCTGTATGGAGAAATATTAATCTAATTTCATTGTCTTTATTGCTTTCCTTACGCTTTAAACAACAGAATATCAATATTATATTAAAAGACGGATCAGAGATGAAGTCAATTATTGTAGGAAGAAAACACTCAATTCCTTAGTCAAGCTTTCAAGGAATATTCCCTTTTATCAGGGCTAGAAAATTGTAATTACATAATTTGTAATAATAGTTTAAATAGTTTCTCATATTGATCTATAGGTGGTCATGGAAATGTACTGGCAATTAATACATAAAAGTAAATTGGAGTTTTTTCCATTTAAGATTTTGTTGTTAACCGTAAAACGGATTGAACGAATTTGTCGGCCTACATTCGAAAAGGGTTGTAATCTTTTGGGAAAAAGAAAAAAAAAGGAATAAAACGGAATGGCGTTGTTCCAGCATTAAATCCTCCTAGTCACTACTTACTGTCCATTAGCCAAATTTTATTGCCCCACCTGTTCTCTCCAGAGGTTTTTTTATTTTTTCTACTATTTTTCCTAGACCTCATACAATTCTATGACGATAATAAGACTCATTGTTTTGGTTTTGGAGGAATAAACGTCAGGTCTTTTATCCTGGTGGTTCAATAAAGTTGTAAGATTGTGACAGCCCTTTCTGCCAAAATACATTTCAAATAACCACGCCAACAAACAACTATAAAACAAGTGGTTTATGTTTCAATAAAGCCGAATTTTTCTGCGTGTGAGTTTTATCCCTTAAAAAAAAAATTATACACTTTTCAATAGAATTCTTCACTTGTTCTGATTTATAAAGCCACAATAAGAAGCAATTTTTATAAACACTAACGAAATCACCCAAATCTTTCACTTTTTATAAAGCGGAGCAAAAAATTTAATAGATTATTAACCTTTACCAAAGGTTAATCGGCATACTCAACCCAACTTTACTATTTCTATTTATTTTTATTTTTTATTTCTAAGATCATCTTTATCCCTAAACTCAATAGAGGCAAAATGTCAAATCACCCATCAGCCTGTCAAAAGTTTTTGAAAAGTTACTTCTACCTAAACTACTTTTACGCTTAAAACCACTTTCCCTTCCACACAAACTGGATTTATAAGCATTCAAGACCTTGCCATATTGCATGCCTTGTTTAAAAAATATGAATTTACTTCTTTCAGCAGTTTTATAATTTAACAATGTGTAGCACAAGGGGGGGTTAGGCTATTACTAGGGCCATTTTTGTATTCTATAGTACGCTATTACTTTGATATAAATACAGTTAAAATTGCACACTTCGCAAGATTGTTCAAGGAAAGTAACTATGGTGTTTAATTAGACCGATTCCTCGGATAGTTTGATCAAAATCCTGAATGAATAGTTTAAAAATTTCCACTAAGACACCGAGATAATATGAACCCCCCCCTCCAAAAAAAAGGGAAAAAATCTGTAGTGCAAAGTATGGATATTGCATCTATTGCATCATGTTACTCATTTGATCTGGTTTATTAAAAATTATTGCATACACGATAATGTGATGAATGTCTGTCAGAGCTACCCTACCAACGTTGTGAGTCTCTTTTTGATAAAAAACAAACTTGAGCAAGGTTAAAACTCAAGTCAATAAAGAATAACTAAAAGTTGAGAAGAGAGACATCTCAGGAAAATAATTATTTACTAACAGACAATTCTTAATTTATTTCACAAAATCAATTAAAATAATATATAACATATTATCTACCTATCTTGACATATAAAAGTCAAAGTTCGTTGGTGTGTTAATGATTAAAACGAAAACTACAGCCGATTTCGATGAAACTTTCACGCTTTGTTGTATTACTGCCGGGCAGGTTTAGAGAATATAAAATGAATATATAAATAATAGGTGTTAGGATTTAAAAAAAGAAAATTTTTAGACTTTTGTAACCACCATTTTCACATTGATTATTCAGAAATCGTGAGATGCGCTCTGGGTGTGATGTAGATTTCAGAAAAACATTTTCTTTATTGTGCCAACGTTTCGATCTTTATTGAGATCATTTTCAGGGCCTCTAGGGCACTCTCAACACGACATGCAAGAATGGCACAATTACGCAGAAAACAAACACTTTGCGCCCTGAAGATGACCTCAATAAAGATCGAAACGTTGGCACAATAAAGAAAATGTTTTTCTGAAATCTACATCACACTCAGAGCGCATCTCACGATTTCTGAATAATCATCAACTAAAGATCACTAATTACCACACATTTTCACATTGTTTTCTCTGCTTTCAGCTGTCCAGTCGGGCTCGGTCTTTCGGCACCCTATAAGATAACGTTTCCCGCGTCTTTCAAATCCCGATTTGGAGACACTAACACTGTATAGTCACAAAAATTACTGAATCGGTTACAGTTGCAAAACTACTGGTACAATATAATCGCAAAAACTGTAGAATTGGTTTCGCTGATGTGAAGATAGGAAGGCACAAAACTTCACTCTTGTATCTTTACTATAGGCAGCAATTGTGAAGTAGGAAAATGGAACTACCGACATGTGGTGTAACCGACGACCGTATGACTAAGCCAAACCGTCAGAATTCAAAAACCGATTTTGTTTTTCAGGTATGTACACATATACAATTATAAATTATGTAAATATTGTTAAACATTGTTTTACCGAACTCGGTTAGTTGAAATCAAATGTGATACACTGTTGTCTTGCCATTTTGATTTAGTAACTAATTTAGTAATATTAATTCTGAATTTAATAAAATGTGAGGTTGCGAAGTTCCGTAATATTTTTCTCAATGTTTTGTAATTACTTGAGATGATTTTTCTCTATTGTGGATTATATTTAATCTTACTTTCTGACTTTTTGTAGAATGCTTATCGTTGTCGTTTATAAAAGCACAAAAAGGATAAAATATCGGCCGTTGCAGAAATATTGCCAAGAGAATTCCAAATGATAGACAGAATGAAACAGAAGCAGAAACTGCTCAACGAAATAACAAAATATATTTAATACGTCACACCCACGTGTTACTTAATCACCACATCTCGAAGCACGCAATAAAGCAAAACGAGTAAGAATTAGAGAATGAAGACAATCTTTGCCTTATTGTGATCAAAATGTACAGGGTGACAATAGTCGATTACTGAAATGAATCGATTAAATCAATTAATAAAACTTAATGGTATTGCATAACAGTATAATTTAGATTTTGAATATAATTTGCATCCAATTGTGGTTGTTGAAAGTATGAATAAAGTTTGCGTACGGTTAAACTTTAAATTATGTTCATTTAATTTATATAAACATCAAGCAATTGCAATATGTATACTCAAAATAATGTTTAAAATAAAACTTTATATTATCCCCCTAGGCAACGCCTGGGTTATACGGCCGTATATACTAAAACAGACACTTACAAATCAATAGAAACTTTTGTAGTGAGAGTCTGGATGCTTTTTGGGAAACGATGGCGTAGTGGTATGAAATGACCACCTATAACTTGTTTGCAGCTCCCCGAGCCATACCACGGTGGGTGATTCTCGGGGCCTGCCGGTAATTCACTTTAAATTACAAACTGGAATTGCTGGTGGACTGCAAGAAGTGATTGGCTCAACTCTGCACTTGTGTGTGAGCATCACAAACATCTTCGGATTTGAGCTTATATAAATTAATAATCAAATATTGTTAAAGATCAAGCTGAAGTAACAAATTATTTTTGTTTTGTAAGTTTGTGTAATTATATTGGTTTTCTATGTTTTTTTTTTTACTGTTCAGCATTAATTGTGATGATTTTACTATAGTATGAATTATGTTTAATCTTTCATTCTGTCTTATTGACAGTCTGTTGTACAATTGCATTTTGGTGTTGTTTAAAATGCCACCAAAACCATAAAATACAGTTCGTGGAATATTAGCAATATGTTTACTAAAATTGAAGTATGTGTGATAATACAACATATACCAATGATAACATGGTCTAATGCAAACCCCAAGTTAATTTTGGCTAGGAATCTAGGACGAAAGAAGCATATTTGTTGGGCATGTGGGTTAATGTGTATATTTATGGAGATATGGAATTTTGTGTAACGGGAAAGTATGAGTTCTTTGACAATAGGAATTTGGAAGTCGGTGTGTAGGGTAAGGTTCGAGACTTGACGGTGCATTGGCGAATTTACGGAGAAGTTTTGATTGCAGTGACTGAATTATTTGAGAATTGTCGTATGAATTAAATTTAAAATAAATAAAGTTAGAATGTTAATTTCAGATACAGAGAGAACATAATTGTTAAAAATCAATGATTAAATTACGTCATAAAACTATGATTATCCGACGTGCATGGAAATCCAGTACAAATATTTAAAACTACATTTAGGAGATATTCATGTTAGGAGTTATATGGTTCCAACTGTAAACATTGTTATCT